ATTATATTTTGGTTTAGGTCAAAATATAATATTTGTAAACCTGAAGAGTCAGTGCCAGTGCCTCACCAGCCATGAACCTCACTGCACGTCACTGCAGAAGCTTATATATAGACATCTACGTTTTTTGTGCCCCACCACTTTTGTACATATAAAAACGCCACTGGGGTACCAAATCTATGCAGACTGCTGCAATAAGTACGTTAATTAACTGTCTCGTCGATGTTTGTCTAAATTAATATGATACTATTAACAATCATATTATTCCTATCAGCTGTCAATCACTGTTATGATTCACACATTCAGTGTTATTATTAAATAAACTATATTTTTTGGAGGAGTTAATGATGAATGTTCCTCAAGATGCTTGCTCACCCTCCTTCAAATTTGAAAGACAAGTAATTATATCATATATCAAAATTCAAAAGATTCAAAGGAACAGTTCAGCGCCCCACGACTTTACTGCAAACAGTTACAACCTGGACTTTACATCAGAAAGGACAAACATTAAAGAAGTGACTAACTGCATCAGTCAGGGTTAAAAAACGTGTATTCAGCTAAAACATATACATCGCTGCAGTTATTATCCAGTGGAGAGTCCTTACCTACTGGCCTAGTTAAATCAAAGTGGTTACTTTCTGTTGGCTGGGCAGTGTAGTTTTACACACCGTCTTATTTGACTTTCTCAGGACTTGAAACAGTTTTCAAGAAAAACAATATTTACACACATAAGGTCATCATCTTAACAGTGTTTTATGCTCATCGAGTCATCCGTGAGCAGAGCATCAAGTTGACATGCCTATTACAGCTGAATGCGGCGATTACCATCTTGTTCAGCAAAACGCCTCACAGACTTATTAAGATCCAAAGCTTTAGTGCGTTTTGATTCAATGCTGAGTACAGCCACACTGACAGGCTCTTCTCTGTCATTGTAGACCGCACCTCATTCCTTCAGTACTTGGGTCCGAAATGCTTCTCGTTTTGCGCTGTCCCCCGTTCAAATGAAATCGCCGCCAATCATATTTCCACGCTCGCGCCAGGGAGGGAGGGGTTACAATACGTGCGTCTTGTGTTGCATTCACTTGCACTCAGACATTAGAGATTTTCTCTCATAAATGTCAGATGAGCCACAATTTTTCTTTCAAAACAAAGCTGCCAACTGGGGTGGCAGCTGGGGTGGCAAGGCTATTTTTCTCACCCCAGCTGCCACCCCGTGCCACCCCGTAGAACCGCCACTGAGGAGGAATAAAGTTGCGTAGTCATTGGATACCGATGCAGTGTTGATTTTCAAGCGGATGGTAAAAGCAAGACTGAAAACGGACTACAGTTACTTTTGCTTAACCAAAGATGTGGGAGAATTTGAGGCCATGTGGTGTCTTAAAAATGCTTTGTGTTCTGTGGAGAATGAGGATCTTACTTTCAGTCGTTTTCTGAACTGACAATGTGTGTCATTGTGTCTGTTTGGTTATTTGCTTTGTGAATAAAAGTGGTTTGACAAATCAAAAAAGAAATCTCTCTCTCTCTCTCTTGTATTAGAGATAGCACTCCTCTCCTGGGGCCTCATTTCTAACGCCTTGAGTAGGATTGACGTGAGAAGGTTGCTTACGTAGTACAAAGCAAAAAAATAGGTACAGAAATTTCCGAAATTTTCCGATTCACAAAACATTGCGTACCGGCGAGGGAAGTGCGTACAGCACTTCATACGCCTGTTTCCCTTTATAAATCACAATCGACTCATAACGCCCATATTTGCCTATAAATAGTCAAAGAAACGCCCATTCATTCATTCATTCATTCAGACTGACTGACTGCATGAAGAAGATCGCAGGAAATGACGACAGAACAGCTAAAAAGACATCTCACACCGTGGGTGTTTCTCAATCGCGAGTGCGCTTGTTTGGTAGCACATGTCTGCCGAGCATCTTGCTTCAGAAGCGAGTCAAGAATACTTCCTGGCATTCGGAAAACGAAGTGTGGAACACGCTAGCAAGTGTGCGTCATATGAGAGGCCCCACCTTACATCTTCCGCCACAGATTTGGGGAAATTGGTCCGTGTGCAAAGCATTGTGGGGATTTTAAGACCGCGGAGTCTACTCATGTGCAGACTCGATATTTCTCCAAACGGAGTACGCCGGGCTCGGTAGATTTCCAAGTATGCTGGAGATTGGAACAGTACTTCGGCGGCACTCGATGACGTAGTATGCTTGAAATAGTGGCTCTGAAGCAGCTTTACTCGCGATTGAGAAACACCCCGTGTCAGATTTAGGTTATTTTGGGGAGGTGGAGATAAATCATATTGTTTGGTGGATGCAGTTTGAACCAGAGTAGCAGCATGGAGGTCGGATCGTCACCAAAATAAATAAATAAGTGGTCCGAAAAAAGTTAATGACAAAATAAATACACATAGCCTTCCTCAGGCAGTGTGTTTGTCCCGGGGACAGGAGACCCCCCTTGATGAGAAACTGTAAGAAATGATGGGGGAATCCCTCCGGAGTGTAGTCATGACGACTGGATCTGAATTATTGTGTTGTATTTGGTGGTTTGTGTTCCAGCTGTCGATCAGCAACTATATATCCATAATCCACCAGTTAAAGGAAATACAATGTGTTGTGTTATATTAGCTGTACAATTTACCACATATGGTGTTCTTAGTTTCCATACCTCCTGTGTTTTACGAGTGACTTATCAAGTCTTGGCAAACGGCATAAAACACGATTAACCTGTTAAGCACCAAGCCTGTTTTTCATGTTTCAGGCTCGAAAATGACATGCCCAAATCAAATGACTACAACTTAACTTCTAAAAGGGTTTTATGAATACTTTCTTTTATCAAAGCAAGGTTACACCTGTGAGTTGGATGTAGAAGTGTCAGAATCAATATAAATGTTTTTTATTTTAAAGAAAATTCAGATTTTACATAGTAAAAAACTGTAAATTATAGTGTCCGTCCAAAAACTATTTTTTTACAGATAGTGAAAACTACCCTTGGATGATGGGTTAGTAGACTAAAAGCTTTAGGAATCCAAGTACAACATATAATAAGTACCCTGTATCAAGATTGATGCAAAACAAGTGACATTTGACCTTTTTAGAGAGGTTTAGCCAAAACCACCCCACCTCTGAGGTGATTTGGGTGAAAATGTTTTTTTTTCCATATCTCTGGCCCCCCTTGCTCGATTTTGATGGTTGACACCTCTTTCTGACCGTTAGAGCCAATAGAATCGAAGGGGGAGGCCCACACCCACACTCATTGTGAGGAGAAAAGGTGGGGGCTGCGCACATGTAAATGTAAAGCAGAGTGGAGCTACATTCTAGCTCTGGCATTTGGAAACTAAAAAGCAGTTTTATTGCTTATGGATTATCAGAAATAATTTCAAAGAAGGCACAAATACATTGGATTAACCTATAGATTAACTGCAGCATCGTTTTTTTTTATCGTTTTAATGCCATTGAAGACCAGTTTTGACCAAGGTAAGCCATGTTAGCGTTTCTAGCTACCTAGCTCCACATGTTATGATGTACGCTTTCGTTTATAGCGTCGCAAATGTTTATCACTGAGTGTTCAGGTGGGCACCCCTAGATTCAGTGTCTCCAGGACACCAAAAACGAGTGGTTGGCTGTGCATCTAGGATAAGTAATAAGGGAGTTATTGTGAGTTTAAGTGCCGTTTTAGGTTACATTTCTTCGCTCGTGGCTAATTCAGAGGCTGAGTGCTAGCATTGTGGGGTTTTTTTGGAGAAAAAAAATTAAAAAGATCAGTTAGCTGAGTTTCTTCCCGTTACATGGATATAAAACATTCATAGTTTATTAAATATTAAGATCCCTTAGACTTTGTTTCCTGCAAATGACGCGTTTATCCGCCCGGTAACGGGCGGATGGTGCATAACAGGTTAAACGTGATAGTATATAAAACCATGCTCGTATCTACAACCTATAGAAATGCAAAACGGCGTCAGTTTAGACGTCATTCTGTCCTCCTGCTTACATTTATGAGAAAACATTTCATAACATTAACACAACATATTCGAGGTGGTTTTAAATAACATATCCGTATTTATTTATTTCTCCAAGTGATGTGTTTGTGTGCACTGAGGAGTCTCAAACAGGCGTTTGTTTCATCATTTTAAGATTGGCTTTAATCAATGTTTGAAAAGTAATTCTTCATATTTGATAAATGAGAGGTAACATTTTATTGATGGTATTATTTCCACATATTTCTCTCCATTCTTCCTTCTGCCAACGGTGTCGCAGTTTGTCGTCCCTCCCATTGTTGTGCTTAGTGCGTACGCATGGGTTAGAGTTTGCGTGGAGGACCGCACATTTTCCCGTCAAGTTAGTATTTTATAAATCGCAAACATTGCGTAGAAACTGGCGTACGCCATTTTTTGAGCGTATATCCCATTATAAATGAGGCCCCTGAAGACATGACACATAATATAAACATGGATTTCATATTTTAAGTTGTTGATAAAGAAGTCGTCCTTTGTTCCAAAAGAAAGATAATGATGTACGGTGGCCCATAAGGTCAGAGAGACATAAATAAAGCAGGGACTTGATTGGCCGGTCCGTAGTTTAGAGAGTTAAACGTGGCTGCCCGGTGAACATACCATGAGCGATCAAAGTGATCAATAAACTAAAGCTCAGCCTCAGAATCAAGAGAGACTTTTATTCAATATATTTAGAAACATAGGAAGAAAAAGATCAGTTTGACATTTAGAACATTACAGTATGATTCCAGATATTACAGTCAGTCAGGAGAGACTCTCAGACCTGCAGAGGAACCAGAGACACTGAGGAGAGACTCTCAGACCTGCAGAGGAACCAAAGACACTGAGGAGAGACTCTCAGACCTGCAGAGGAATCAGAGACACTGAGGAGAGACTCTCAGACCTGCAGAGGAACCAGAGACACCGAGGAGAGACTCTCAGACCTGCAGAGGAACCAGAGACACCGAGGAGAGACTCTCAGACCTGCAGAGGAACCAGATACACTGAGGAGAGACTCTCAGACCTGCAGAGGAACCAGAGACACTGAGGAGAGACTCTCAGACCTGCAGAGGAACCAGAGACACTGAGGAGAGACTCTCAGACCTGAAGAGGAACCAGAGACACTGAGGAGAGACTCTCAGACCTGCAGAGGAACCAGAGACACTGAGGAGAGACTCTCAGACCTGCAGAGGAACCAGAGACACTGAGGAGAGACTCTCAGACCTGCAGAGGAACCAGAGACACTGAGGAATCATCAGTATGAAACCCAAACCCAGCATAGAGAGGTTCAGTGAATGTGGTTCTGAAGGTGTGGATGTGGATCAGTTTGTCAGAGGAGACTCTGTAGAAGGAGAGAGAGCCAGCAGGATGATCCAGAAACACTGCTACTCTACCAGAGGAGGAGGAGGGGAGGAGGAGGAGGAGGAGGAGGAGGAGGAGGGAGGAGGAGGAGGAGGGGATGTTTGTTACGCTGTTATTGTTCCAGACATAGTAACGACCACCATCAGTGCAGTCCAGACTCCAGGACTGATCATTCAATCCAAACCTACAGTCCTCTCTCTCTCCTCTCCTGCTGATTCCTCTGTAAGTCACTGATATATAAACCCTTACGCTCCTCTCGACCTCCCAGTAGCAGCGACCAGTCAGAGCTTCTCTGCACATCAGCTGAGGCTCTTTCTCAAACCTCTCTGGATGATCAGGATATGGCTGCTCCCCTCTCAAACGTGTCACCTTCCTGTTGTTGTCAGACAGTTTGAGGTTCCTCTGTGCTGTGTTTGTGTCCAGCTCCAGTTCACAGGCATCTGATGGAGAGAACAGCTGCAGGTTATCATCTGTTCATTTATTAACTACTTTACTGACAATCACTGACAGGAAGTCATTCAGACTGACGTCTCATATTCACTGAGAATGATGTCTAACAACCT